ATTTGAGCGAAAGGAGGGGGAGGTGGTGAGCGGTAAGGAAGAAATCAAAAGAAGCGGAAAAAAGCAACACCAGCAGCCAACAAATGGCACTCAGAGAGCTGGCCCGTTTGAGTGTGTGGAATCCGAGCAGCCGGTGTTTCCCGGAAAAGGGATTGTGGCCGCGGGAAGCAGAGTAGGCCGAGTGGGGGTGAAGAAGCTGGGGGGTGGGAAAGCGTATATCGCAAATTACTGGTTGTTTCATCTCCCGCTGGAAGCTCCGTGAAGCTGCTTTCTCTTTCCCCCCTGCTTGCTGGTCTCCGATAGGAGTCCAAGATGGCGGATCCGTGCTGCATTAGCTGGTAGGGGGCCTCTGCATGAATCTCTCCTCTCTCTCCGTTCCCTGTCAGTTTTCTCACTCATTTGGTGCTTGGCTGAGTTCTTTATCTCTTCATTTGATGTTTTAGGGTTTCAGGATTATTGTCTCTGTTCGGCTTAGTTTTTCGGATCTTTGGCTGTGGAGGGACAGCGTGGTGCTTCTGCCTAGAGCGCCATTTTGCCAGAAGTCCCCAGTCCTCTATTTTAAATATTTAGTTTTCTAATTTATCCCTATTACTAACAGTGTTGCAGTGATGAATATTCTTGTAGCTGAATCTTTTTTCTTTATTTTTATCGTGGTAAAATATATGTAACAAAACACTTGCCATTTCAACCATATTTACATGTACAATTCAGTGGAAGAGGAAACTTTTTCATTTAAACCATCACTTTAAGCTTACCACATGCAAAAACTCTGTGCTAAGTACAGTGGGGTCTTCGAGAAGCTCAAGAGGCTGGCCCACAGAGGTGCCCAATCTGGTGCCACATTAGATAAATGAGACCCAGTCCTTGTAATCAGAGACCTTTGGGTCTTCTGGGAAGATGGCACCTGAGTTGTTAAATGATGGTGCAGGCGGCCCCTGCTGTTGGAGGGCATCCTGCAAGTGGGGCCATCAGGGACGGCTTCCTGGAGCAGGAATGGGGCTTAAGCTAGCTCTGGATGCTACGAGGCTGTGAGTTGGGTGTGAGGAGGAGAAGGGCATCCTGGGTGTAGAAGACAGCCGGCGCAAAAGCTTGGAGA